GGGGGGGCTTCGCCGAAGGGTACCCCCCCTTCGTCTTCGGCGAAGCCCCCCTTCGCCGAAGGTCCCGGGCCCATACTGAAAAGATGTCACCTATGGTTCATGATCTTATCACGCATGTCACAATGTCGCACTTAAGCCTTTCGTGTTTAAGATAACATGACGTCGGCGGGTATTCCGAACCCAACACCAACAGTGGAGAAGCAAGTGAGAAAGATTGCCGCTAGGCTAAGCTGGCTCAAGTGAATTCGTCGAAAGCGAAATCCATTGCAGGCTAATCTTCTAATGGCGGCTACTTGTGCCTCGCGCACGAGCACCTCAGAAGAGAGTGAAGCAACCATGGACTGCCGACTACTGCTCACTACCTTGTCTGGCAAAGAAATCGAGGTGTCAACAAACATTGCTCAATTTGACAGATTCGAAGACTTTGAAGAGCATATTGTTGATTACTTTGCTACTGTTTCGGATCTGGATGTCTTTGGCAACGAATTGGACTTTGTTCACCCCACCACGCAAGCATACTTGGAAGGCCGCATCTGGAAAGCCTTGCAAGAGAATGGGCATTTCACTATTGTGTTTCGGGAGTGCGTCGAAGTCTTCCAAATAAAAGAGGCCTTCGAGGAATGCGCATATCGGGACATCCCGAAAGCAGTCAAGGTTCCGGCCAATGAATTGGGGATCATCCCACCTAGTGCTTTCATTGCAGTCCCACGAATGCGCCATGTCATCATTGAAGCAGGCATACACGCTGTTGGGGCACGAGCTTGGCAAAACTGTCGCCGCCTCCGAATCGTCAAGATGCCGACCACAGTTGTGCTTATTGAAGAAAGTGCCTTTCGTGGGTGACAGTGCCAGGCTGCACAGATTTCGGTTATAAAGCTTTTGCCGACTAGTGGGTCCATGCCAATGGAGGAGTCAACAGTATTGGTAGTGCAACCAAGCTTGGCAAGTATCTTTTTGACTCTTGCATTAATCTAGCTACCATGACAATCCTGAATGCCGGTAATGACTCGGATTCGCCGACGTCGGTGCAACGTCGAGAGCTTCCGACGGGATGCTTTTGTTCCACAGGGTTGAAAGAACTCCAATTACCCCGAGACTTCTATGAGCTGGGAGCCCATGCCTGTGATAATTGCAAGCTGCTTTCCTACGTGGATATTTCGGACACCACATCGAAGAAATTCGGGAGTTCACATTCGTGCACTGTACCAGGCTCCATGATGTCCGTCTTCCACATACAGTACACACAATCCACCCGAAGGCTTTTATGAACTGTGCCGCCTTGCAAGAACTAGCCATCCCACCCTCACTGCATTACATTGCCAGTAGGGCGTTTCTCGATTGCACAGTCTTGCGGAGACTCACGAGAATGCCAGGCCAAAGAACTACGTGGAGAGGGATATATGCTGAAGAAAATGCATTTGCACTTGGCCCGCATGGCGATGGCCGCAGTGGCTGCATATGATCCAGGATCTAGGATGTGTGTCGGACTTGGGTTAAGTCCACAAGAGATACAGCTTCAATGTTAGGTACCCATACACTGTATACGGTTCCAGAAGGTCTGCGTTGATGCTAGAACTAGCCATGCCACTCTCACCCCATTGCATTGCCTGCAGGGCCTTTCTCGATTGCACAGTCCTGTGGAGACTCACGAGAATGCCAGGCCAAAGAACAATGTGGAGAGGCCGACGAAACTGCTTTCGAATTGTGCCCCGCATGGCGATGGCCTTTGTGGCTGCGCAGGTCTTTCCAGGCTGAGGCCTAGCGAGACGGAACTGTGCCTTGCGTACGTCCATACGAGCTGCAGTGTACAGTGCTGACGGTAAGCAAACCACACTAAAGCAATTCGACTGCCCTCTCCAGCCTTAGTGGAAGAGAAGATAGCCGATATGAGTCGGTAATGACTCCAGCCAACATGCCCATACCTGTGCGCTGCTAGTGAGCTGGCCCGGTTGCGAGCCTTAGCTTTCGACAGGTGTGCGCACGCGACGGCAGGAAGGTAGCTGATTGGCACGCGGGTGAGAACCTTAGTTCCTCGCCTGGTGAGGGTCCGTACCCTGCCAAAGTGGGCATATGGCACCATGCTGGCCTTTTCACGTTTCACAATGTTTCACAAGGGCCATGCATGAAGGAGGCGAGCCGACTGATGAATAGCAACGCTATCCTCCCTAGATAGCATCTCGCGCACTTCCCGCACTCCCGTGGGCTTAGCTGTTAAGGAGCTTGCTGGAAATGTGCGCGACTCCTCCCTCTGTTGAGGGAGGTTTCGTCAGGCGCCGACAGGCGCACTTGCGAGCAATGACCAGCATCGGCAAACTGCCCACTACAGGCCACATTTTCTTCTGCCATTGCAATTGTGTGAAATGATTGTGACCAGGTGCTGACTGAACAGCATTGCAGTCGAGCAAGTTCAAGGTTACCCGCACTCCAAGGGAACCCTTAGGCATAGCTCTTCATTCGCAAGCTGCTGAATTGACATCCTGCCCCTTCACAGATGTTGGAGTGCTTTCGAGCACTCCGTTTGCAAGCGCCAGTGATCAGGCCAGTCCGAACTAGGCCTGAACGCACAAGGCCATTCCACAGGCATGGACAGCAGCTTAATCTTGAATTCGAGGCCCAGATAGCTAGTTGCCGCAGTTCCGTTGTCTCACAATGTGTCACCTTGATGTACAAAGCTGAAACTCTGCTGGTTTTTGCTTGATTTTTTTTGTTGGTGTTTTTGTGTTTGTGTTGTTGTTGGATTTTGTTGGTTTTTTCATTTCTGGCTTTCCCTCTTTGAACTTGCAGAGTTTCCACTTTTAGCAAAGATGACCTGTGCACTCCGCGCACATGGCGTCTCCACTCGTGCAAAGAAATCCGTGCAAACAAGGCGACGGACTCCCGCTTGAGGTCTCCTCTGGTCCGAGCAATGATCACTGCTTTCTGCTCCTCTGACAGTCCAGCTCGATGAAGCCAACTCCGGGCCTCATCCGGGAATTGAACACCAGTCTTCCGGTGGTTCAAAAGCTCTGGCGGTCCACTGCTTCATCGTTTCGCCATCTTGCGATCGAAGGCCAAAAACCTGACCCAAAATCTCACCCAGCTCGTCCACCACTTCCAACTGAGGGAAACGCTTGTCCAACAAGGCCCAAAGAACTGCATCGCCGTCCTTCTCTGATTGGCCTCTGGCTCTAAATGCTCGACGGCTTCAAGCGCCTTGCCACTCAGCAGGATGTAGATGTATGCTCCTCGGGAGCTTTCCGGGAGCTTGTCCAGTGTGAGAAACTTGTTTTTCACCCAGGTCTTCCATCTCTTATATTCTCTACCATCTTCATTCTCTCCTGAGAACCCCTTCACGAAAGCCGACTCTCCAGCCTGCGACGAAGACGACGCCATCCTGCGTCACGTGTGACGGACCATGTGCGGGAGCCCGGATTGGTACCGGGCTCCGCCACCAATAGCGGAAAAACCCTCCCTACCGAGGGAGGTGAACGCGCGGGCTCTTTCTCCTCTCGAGCTATGAAAGGTCCCTGGCATGCGTCACGTGTGGACTCTGAAATATATATATACAACATATATATATGTATCTATCTGCAACAATGAGCCAAAAGTAGAAGAAATGCGGTGGTTCTGCACTAGCAATATGTTTGTTGGTTCCATCCATTTTTAACTTGGACTCTTTTTGCACGAACTCTCTTAGGCTTAATTTCCATTCAAAAAATAGGCAAAGCTTTCTCGGTGTTCTTTCCTTCAAACAAACACCTCACAACCACCTCCCGGGCGTTTTCACGTGCGGATCCGGGTCACCCGTTCAATCGAAACAAAACGCCGAGCACGCGGACGCGCGGGTTCGGGGTACATGACAAGGAGTGCGTGTGTTGCTGGCGTCTTCTGGTCTTTTATGTCAGGTTTTGTGTGCAGTCCGAGTTCGGCCAGACAGGGCGAAATAAATGAAATGGTTGTTGCAATTTCGGTGAGGTGAAAGAAGGTGGTCCTCGCATCAAATTGCCAAAGACACCAAAAGGACTAAATAGTGCCTTTGCCAACTTGGGTGGTAATCCAAAGTAGGTTTGTTTGAGTAACTATATCAAGAATATCTTGGGTGCAATCAACCTGACTCGCGTTGCTCGCGCATGCGGTTTGTATGTGGCACGCAATCAGGTTGTTTCAGGCTCATTAGCTGTCAACGCGGATCTTGAGATCGCAAGAAGTCTCAACTCGTGAACATGGTGGCCGCTGACTTGTCTAGCAAGCTGAAGTGCCTTGGTGAAAGATGCGGATGGGAATCCGCCTTTGACTGGCAGACATTGTTTGCTGAAGTAGTAAGTAGTTGGATCGGAGCAGTTGGATGGCCATCATCAACTCACATTGAGGAAGACTGTTTCCGCAGTCCTAAATCATTTCCCGTGAATCACCTGTGTGTGTTCGGTCATCGACGTGCAGTCACAGGCCATGGGCGCTGATTGGGTGCTCCGGCTTCGGGTGTCCCACAGGGATTGACAGCGGCGCAAGGAGGGGTGTTTTCCTTTCTCCATTTGGTTAAGCTAGACTTGGCTAGACTACTAGAGTCCGACAAATAACTCCCTTGGGGGGGCCACATGGGTGACATCGAGGTGGTGAAGGTAGTGGTGAAAGGTGGTGGTGGTGGTGCTGCTGCTGCTGCTGCTGCTGTCGTTGGCCTGTACCAACGAAATACGACGCTTCAAACAGCGAGAAGCATGGAACCACATCCCAAAACATTCAAGCAGACGCCCTCAAGCAGACGCAGCTTTGCTGAGGCGCACCAAGATTTGCAAGTGCCTTGTTCAGAGAAGACAGACAAGTGGTGTCCTGCAAGTGTATACAGATGAGCCTGCTGGATAGGGATGATATGTGTTCTCAAGCGCGAATATGAGCGTCCATGTAGAAGTGTCCAGTGATTGGAGGCATATTTCGGTTCGTTTCTAGTCTTTTATAGTCCATCTATAGGAAGAAGTCCACAGACCACTTCGAAGCCCAATCCCTGCTCACTATGGTTTTTGGCAACAAAGCTATGTGTATTTGAGAGAGCAGGCACCCTGCTGAAGCTCATGAAGTGAATATCATTGTGTGATGTTGGTGGAGTTTTGTTTCTTGTTCCAGGGCCTATGGAAAGCCTAGTTGTTGACAGGCAGTGCTTACCCATTGGCACCTTCGGAGTTAATGCTAAATCCAACTGGTCGAAAACGGGTAGTGGCAAACGACACGAGGCAAAATGTTGAGGATATATAAATTCAATTTGGAAAAACCATTCTTTTCCCCAACAGCGACGCTTGAGGGGTCTTCAGCCATAGTATAGACTTCCGAGCACATCGGAGCAAGGTTCCGGAGCAGGTTCCGGAGCAGGTTTTGGAGCAGGTTTCCAGACAAAGGGCTAGGAAGTTTCGGAGAAAGGTGCGGATGGCCTCGACGTGGTGGCTCATTTGGTGGCTCATTTGTTCGAGCAGACGAGGCCTAGACGGTTGGTTTGATTGGGATCCGCGGTGCAGTGTGATGGAGTTTGTTTCGGAGCACTGCAGCAATGAGTGCAGTGATGTTAGTGGGCTTCCTGGAAATCCTTGGACGTGGGCTCACCGGCTTTCCATCAGCATGAAGCTTGATGGTCTCGTGTCGCGACACAATTTGTAAGACCACACAACATGTTTCTAGCTGTTGGGGATTTTCCTTGGGCCTTTTTTCAAAGGATACTGCGGAAGGTGATAAGCTGGTCAGAGAGACCGATTAGGAGCAAGTATATATTGTTCTCTTTCGGGTGCACTGTTGTCTTGAATTCGCGCTGCTAAAGGCATATACTGTAATGTATCTTGAAAAGGTAATGATTGGCACATAGGCGTCAAGTGTCCCATTAGAGATGCTTTGGGATCCTAGGTGAACAGAAGTCGGACGGTTGAAGTCGTCTCAACTGAGGTTTTGGGTCTTCAACAGGTGCACCTTGGGCAACTTGGAAAAACTTGAGTCGAAGATGATGCGCTATCAGTTTGAGGTTCTTGTGAGTCATGTTCAGTGAGGTTCAGTGGCACCCTTGGTTGGTTGGGATATCAGACTCAACGACGGTTGAGAACGAATACATGGGTCTCTACTTTCTGACCCCTTTTCAGGCGATAGGGTGACCCACAGCCAAATCTCCAGTTAGTGACAGATCACTCTGGCTCCTCTCAGATCCAATTGTTTTTTTTGCCAGCTTGGAGCTGTCAGGTGAGGGTCTCTAGGCTTCATCGTGGGTGCTCCTTCATGAGTGTTCGACATCACTGTCGCGCTGGACTTCATGGGCCCCTGAAGGATATGTCAGTAGTCAAGGCAGATGTCCAAACACATGCAGGCCTTGATTGTCTTATATAACAGTCTTAACAGATGTCAGGCAGAATGCATACCAGAACAAGTGTCAGGTCAAATGCCGGGAAATCTGTCAGAACAAAGGTCAGAATACATGCAGGACTTGATGCCACAACATATATAAGTCAGAATACAACCCAAAGCAAACATGAGGTTGAATCGTCAGACCACAATTTGCAGGACACATGTCAGAACACGTGCATACCTTTACCTTGGCGCCAGGACAAGTGAGGTCATTTGTCGGGCCGCTTGTCACTGCGGGGTTCATTCTGACAAAGGTTGTAACGAGCAAGACGTCGCGTCAGAACAGATGCCAGGCAGTCTTTTGCCCCGCAGGCCTTTCCTCCGACACGTGCATGACTTGGATGGCAGAGCGTTAGTCAGGAAACATGTCCAATGTCAGACTATATTTATATACATATTCATATACTTACGACAGCTCACCGCATTTTCCTGGAATGTCCTCTTTGGGTGTTTCCATGGAAATCTTTTGTGGCAGGCGGCAAGAGTTTTTGGGAGATGACGAACAGCAAAGCCCCTCAATAAAAGCAAAGACAAACTGGGCCAAAACGGCAGCGGAACGGTGCGAATTGTTTGAATACTTTTTCGTTGCACTATGGAAGGTGCAAATCGGCAAGCAAAACCATGAAGCGATTGAATATACATCAGACCACAGAAAGTAATTGAGTTTCACAACGCGGCAACCGTTTTACAAAACAAGGTGTCGGAAGTATGTCGGAACACGTAAGGCTGGACGTCAAAACACATGTAAGAACACAGGCCAAACCGAGTGCCAACAGTAGACTTATATCAGAGCACTTGTCAGAGCACAGGCGACAATTAATGTCACACCAGCTGTCAAAACGCATGCTGCGTGCCAGAAGAGATGTCAGGTTACATTATCATTGCCAAGTTGCATGTCAGACCACATGTCCGGATTTCAGCTCACATTTCGGAACACATGCCGGCTTGATGGTACAACTTGCGAGGTCGTTTGTCAGAACATACGTATGTCATGTTCTTAGTCAAACTAGTGTCAGATCACATGCCAGGCTTAATTTCAGAACATATGCCGGAAGAAATGCAACAACACATATCATACTATTTTGCAGGAAAAACTGATCGATTATTGTGTCAGAACTTTTGTCAGTTTACATGTCAGAACACATGCAAAAAAAGGTCTGCAATGTAAAAAATCAATATACATGCCAGGTCACACTGACATGGCGGAACATACAGCAGAGCAACGTAACAGGTGAGGTCATTTGCCAGGATAGTTTGTCATTGCGCACATGCTTTTGATTTCCTAGTCGCGGCTGGCTCACTCGAAGTACAGGGTCCTTGAGTTTTAAACCAGTAGTAGTGACGTTTTTTTCGACCGCCGTTATGCCCTTTGAAACAAGGGTTTGGAAGCCTCAGGTGAAGCTTGTACTTTCGCACACTCCACTTGCGACCTCCAAGAGCAGCCAGACCTGGCCTAGAACTGAGAAGTGGTTGGTGTGTTCTCTACAGTGGCGTCGTTCATGTGGTCTTTCTTGATAACCATACCGGTTTTTTAAACTCTGATTTCACGTAGTGTTTCAGGGAATCCTGGAAACCTGCCATCAGGTCAAGACTGAACTATGCTTCCAGTTCATGTCCAAGGCACAGCTAAAGCGCTTAAATATTCTGGGGAGGAGGGGACGGGGCACGTTGAAGCGTAGGTGTTCGGGTCATTTCATGCAAGCCTTGGTAGTTCCTGGTGACTCTATATAGATAGTCTTTGATTGTTTGTTCAAATGAAACCACTCTGAACTGGAGCGTTGCCATTACCCTTGTGTGTGGTGTGTTTTCTTTTGTCTCGGTCAGAGTATTCGTAGAGAACTAAGAAGAGCGGTTTTTTGATGTCTTTTGTGTTTGTCTGTCAGGAGGTGTATCCACAACTCGTCATTGGTCGAAACATAGCGCAGCAGGATTGACACTGCACCTCGCCCCCCAAACCTATCCTATTCATACCCTAGTTTTCATGGGATCAAATTCCCTCGAAGAGCATGCCTTGATTGTGATGAGTGCATCTGCGCCTCCAAAAAGCATGGCCGAGGATCTGCCAGAGTACAGTTCAAGCATGCCCTCGTGCCCGGAACCATTTCCCACACCCAACACCAGTGGTCCGCATTCAGATCTCGCCCCAGGGCCAATGCAAACGTGGAGCTGCCTGCACTTTTGCACATGGCAAGAAGGAGCTCCGCAAGCCTCGCAAGGAGATGCCGAAAAGCGCTGCTTTGGCACATGGCAAGATGAGCGCAGAGGCGCAGGAATGCCTTTCAGAGACGGAGGTGAAGCCGGAACCAGAGACTTGACGGAAGATGACGGAAGAAATCGGATTCTTTGCGACAAGGTGCAAAGAAATCCTGTTTGAAGAACTGGATTCTGAGCCCTGTTGTGATATTGAATAACCAGGGAACAAAGCCGCCAGTTTCGGCATCGCTGTCTCAAGCAAAAAGATGTGGGAACACCGCCGCAACCAAAGACCAGAAGGAAGAACTTTTGAGCGCGGAGCAACCTCTGTCATTTCGATCGAAACTCCAGTCTCCTTGTTGCTTAACTTGATGCCTGCTGGCTGACAGCACCCTGCTTTGTCGACTCAACTTTCTTTTGAGCCGTGTTTTCTTGAAGTTGGTCTTGGAAAAAGGGTCATAAACGCGTTCAGGAGTTGCTGCTTGACTTTTGAGCTCTGGTCCAAGAGCGTTCAAGAATATCAACTTTCTGATTTAGCTATATATAGATCAGAGATGCACACATGCTGCTTTCAAATTGCATCATATCGTGAGGTAGCTCCGCCATCGGAGATCTTCGCAGAGCTCCACCAGCGGATCGAGCATGCGGAATCCGCGCTTAAGGCATAGACCCGGTGCCACTTGTGGTTTCTGTCAACCTTCACGGGGCCCAATCTGGTCAGTCCTGTGTCAACCCAAAAGATTTCGACTGTGATGTTTCAGTGTTTTGTCATCGCTGCCAGTGCCTTTCTGGTAGGTTCGTTCTTTGATGACTTGTTCATCTTCATTCACTGGTTGATGTCTTTATTTGAAGCTGGGAAACTCACATTATGATCTCAGATTTGTCAACTTCAAACGGCACAAGCAGTCAGAAGAAGCATCACCAGAACAAGAACAATGTTTTAGTTGATACCTGAACTCTTCCACCATTTGTGGCTGTGGCCAAGCACCATTGAGGTGGTGTTTTTGGCCAATTCTCTAAAACGACTGCACTCGCAGCTAGAAACCAGGCAAGGGATGGGTAATCCATCCTGTTACATTCTTTGAGACGTCCATATTTTTGTTGCGCTCCAAAAGAGTCTTGGCCAAGTATAGTCAAGATGACATCGCCGATCATGGACCGTTGTCAGGGTGTGAATGCCATGGTGATGCACATCAACCTGATGTCGCACAGCGTCCCCAACACCTTCCGTCCACCTCCCGGGTTGCCGCCGCCGGAATGCTTGAAGGCGCGGTCTTTGTGGGTTGTTTTCCTGACTGTAACAAGAAAGCAGAAGCTGTTGAAGTCAAGGTGGTATGGTGAAGTTCTCAAGTAGTTCCTGGTATGTACTCTTTTAGCTGTATAGCTGTAAAAAATGAGCTTGGCCAAACTAGCAAGTCAGTCATTTTCAAGGATTTGTTTGGGATGCACCTCGTGTCCAAATTCGGCAAAAGGACCAGGCTCCCCCTGAAACTCGTCTTGCTGAAGCTGTGGGTGTTCGATGGTACCATTGAGTTGGTTTTGCTGAGAAGGGGATTGGATCAAAGACCAACATAACCAACATGGAAGCACGAAACCACCGGGTTTTGGGTCTCTATTCACCATCCAAATGGGTTTTGGGCCCATGTCTTGTTTGAAGTTATCCATGTGTGACATGTTTGGACCAACCACATGGATCGCTGTCATTCACCTTCTCTCACAAGCCAGGAGGATGATGCTGATACTGCCAGCACGACGGCCAGCACACAGCTGCTTGGTCGGATATTGGAAAGTGAAGATTCACCTGCTATATCACTGTTGAATATGCTCACATATAGAATTCATTTATCCAGAGATCACAAGTTACTTCAACATCTACCTTCCTGCCATTGACATATATCCTGCACCACTTGCAATACAGGGTAGTCTCTCGATTTTTTGGGCAGGTCCTCCACCCCGTCGACGCCTCGGGAGAAGAGTGAGCCAGCCAGCCCCACCAACCAGATCTTCTGGTTGTGAATCATTCTAAAGTCGTCAGCGGTGTGGCGCGCAGTTCTGGGCCTGAGCAATGAATCTTTTGCAGCTTAGCAGCTCTTTTTGATTATGACTATCAAGAATACCAGCACATGCAGGTTCAGCATGTTGCCCC